TGTTCATTATAATATTTTCATCGTTTTCATATATGTAGCATATTTAATAATATGTAGGTGTATGTGTTTTATATGACTTGTTTTATTTAAATATAACAATATTCAATAAATTATTTTGTGTAAAACAGATTAAGTGTTGTAAAAGTTATTAATAAAAATATATATACAATATGAACTCATAAAAATATTGATATAGTCATACATTAAAAATTTACATAAAGCACTGGATGATACATGAATTTAAAATCTTGTAATATAATAAACATTCGTCGATATTCGACTATCATTTTTGTATAGTAAATGACAATGCAATTGAAAAATATATCTTTAGACATCATTACCAAGCAAAACATCACCATTTTCACAAGTAAACATGATATGAACTTTTTTACTTAATTCAGGACCAACTCGTCTGGCTGTTGTAAGAGGTCCTGCTGCTCTTCTAATCTAAATTCACACACACACATATAATAAAGATTATAATATAATATACTATGATTTAAAAATATTCTACATTTTTTTTTATTCTAATTAAAATTTGTTATTACTTACAGGAAGATCTTTTAATAATTTGCTACCTTCTGCGGATGTACAATTCTTATAAGCCTGAAATATATTATTGAAATATATTACAAATATAATTAAATATATCTATTACACAGAGTGTTTTGTAACTGACAGTATAAGCAAGTAGAGGTGATTTCACATGAAAAACTAAATAGAGAATGTAGAATAAAATTTGTTCATACTATGGTTTGTTTTATAGGAAAAAAATAATTTTTAACATTTGTCAAGTACACGTACTAAAATAATCATACCTCAACTAATTGTATTGGACTTTTATATACAGAACAAATCGCTTCTGAAATTTCCAAGCTACTTAAATTAAATTGGCAAAGTTGTTGTTGCCATAATCTCTTCAATCCATTTCCATCTTTATCTACGCGTACCGTATCTCTATTATCTCCCGCTATGTACCAATTATATTCTTTATCAGATTGTTGTCTTTTTTCTAGTTTATATGGTTTTTCTGCAATAGCTTTTGTATATTGATAAATCATTAATGCTAAATCTGCTGCATTTTCGATGAGCCTATTATTACATTTATTCATTATTTGATTTTCAGCAAGGCATACTTCTAGTTGTTGTTTTGAAATTTCTGGTGATTCTCTATATGCTATAAAGTCTTTAGTTTTATTATTTGACTTGCTTCTTGAACACTTTTTTAATTTTATTTTATTCTTATGATATAGAAAGTATGCTTTAATTCCAAAAATAACTAAGGTCATATTGTAATCTGGCAATAAAGTCCTTATGTAAGAAAGACTACTATTGAAACTATCATCTATTAATTTGTCTACTACTTCCTTCCAATTCCAAATAACTATTATATACTTTTCAATTTGCTTCATAGTTTTTGTACATATTTGATTATTTTCATTAATGCTATCTTCTTCTATACTTCTTTCCCAAGTTATACTATTAGAAATTGAATGCGAAATGAAACTATATGATATATTCGCATCATTTAATGTTACCAAAGTTTCTGGATAAAATTTATATTCTTCTATATGTTTGTCCAAAATAACTTTGATAAATTTCATACATTCACCTGGTTTAATATTTTTTAATTTTTTAGTTGTTAACGCTTTTAACTTTTTTTCTTTTGCCAAGGTCTCCTGTTTCTTAAGGCGTTCTTCTTTCAATTTACTTTTACTTTTCTTAATTGGTTCCTTAATCAATTGTTGATTCATGCAAATATTTTCTTCATAGCAGTCGGATTCTAAAGAATCAGACATATCATGAGTAAACGATCTCTTTTTAGAAAGTGGTGGTGTATTTGTAAATACTTTATTATTAGTTTCAGCATTTGAAATAACATTTAACGATTTAGAATTACTGCTTATAATGCACTCTCTTTGACATGATTTGTTTTTATTAGTAATATTATTTGTATCCATGAAATAATCAAACTGAACTTCAGGAAAATCAAAATCATCGTCAGATGCAGAATCTTTTTGACAATTTCCTTTTTTAGTATTAATCGGATGATTTATCGACAATTCGGATTCGTTTGAATCGCTTAATACGATTATTTCTGCCATTTTTATTTCTTTTTAAATTATGTTACTTTTACATGCATCAACATATTATATACATTTTCTATTTACAATTTGAATTTTTTATCCTTTTTCGTGATGACCTAAAAAAAGTAATTTTAATGTATTTTTTCACCAATACATAATTGTAAGTATAAATGCATGCTCGAATATTATTTTTTATTACAATTCATGTATACATATAAGTATATTTATTCAATAATAATTGTATTTAAAAATAAAATCATTTATTTTTGTATATATGTACATAATATGATAGTATACGATGTTTTCTTTTACTAACCTTACTTTTGATTCACGTTTATCATTAATTATACTGCATTAAAAATGTACAAGAGTTCATTCTATTATATATTTTTTTCTTTATTATCTCTTTATATTTATATTTCTTAATTACTGAAAAGTGATAAATATAAAGATAAATGTAATGAAAAATAAATTTTTCATGAAAGAATTTTCGTAAAGTTGTGTCACAGTCATATGTGACTGACGTTGTATAGCGCGCGAAAATTGAATCGAAAAATATCAATTTACGAAATATTTGATTTCAAAGTATTATCAATAATCGTTTAATTATTTAAATATTCATGTGTTTTTTTTTTAATAATTATGAAGATATTGTATGTAAAAAGATTATTAAAAAAAAAGCACTTTGTGGTCTAAACCCGGGATTACCTTAGTTAGGCACTTTTACTGTTATGGTTGAATGTTGGCATAGCATTAGGATTTTCAGGTAAAAATTAATTGAGCATACTTTAGTTTTGTGTGTGTGTATGTGCAGCTAAAAATAATTCCAACATATGTGTGAAGTTATAACAGATGATATAAATGTTTGAAAAGTTATATATTTTATAGAAATTCATTTCTTAGTAAAAGAAAATAAAGCTCTCGTAACACATCAAGAATTTATATATCTATTAGTAGATCAGACAGTGAGAAAATTTTGTGATTTATCTAAATCACGCTATGGGCTATCAAATAGGAATAAAAAATGATTAAATGGTTAACTTTATATATTACTGTGGAATGTGAAGATCGAGGTAAGAAATGCTTAAAATGTTTTCTAATAAAGCAATAAATCAAAAGTGAGAATCAAGTTATTTTGATACGCATTTATATACTAATATTTAAAAACAAGTAATTAATGTCAGTGAGTGTTGTGAAAAAGATCATACCAAAAAACATTGTAGAATACTACAAATAAAAATTAATTTGATGAATTTCATAAAGTAACGTTTGTTTGAGCCTACGTCTCCCTGTATTGCGAGGGAAAATAATATTAGTTAATAGATTATTCATGCTAAAAAGTATTGCGACTATGAAGAGTTAACTTTGATCAGTTAGTATAAGAGTCGAAACATGGTAAATGTATAGATATTTTTTTAATGAAAGCTGATATAAAACAAAATTATTATAATAATCATTATTATTACTACTGTTATTATGCTTGCTTACATAGAGAAAAATACAAAGTAATCATTCAATAAAAATGTACATTAATAATCATTGAAAATCATTATAAATTAAATAAGATAACTTATATGTGAAAAAAGTAGACGAAAGTATTTTCAGTGAAACAGAATCCAATATAAATACAATTTAACAATTACGACATATCTTCATCATTATTATTTTTAATAATTATTATTTAAGAATTTATGTTTCAGTTGTTTCCTTAGTTTATTGTCATATTTAATTCTCGTTCGTAATTGTTTAATAAAATAATTTGGTAAATTTTTCTATTATCATTAATTCATAATTACAGTCAAATATTAAAATGGCATGTCATTTCTTTACATGTTTAACTTAAATTGAATTGTTTAGTAATTCGTATAATAATCCAGTATTATATTTTTTCTATATTCACAAAACTTCAGCTCTTTCGTTTTTGTTTTCTTTTTGTCTTCTTTTTTTTTTACAAATGTTACAAAGTTTAGTTTAATATTATTATAAGGGAAATATCACAAGCGCACGTTATTGAATCATTCAGAATTACAAACACTCATATAATATGTGCAATTTGTTTTCACTTAACTTACCCGTACAAGGAAAAGTATGCATTGACCATCATTTGTTTCAAAATAATGGATAGCTAGGCATTCGATTATATTTACTTTTATTTGCCTAGCATATTCTCTGTAATTCTTAAATCATGCCGTATATACTCACGAAAAATGTGCTTCTTATATGTTTCATAAATTTATAAAATTCTTAATCACTTCACACAATTATACAATTTTTAAATAATCTACTATATTGTCTATGTATTACTTTTCTTGCGCTTTTCTATTTTATCAATGTTGATACAAATATATTAGTTAATGTGATACATTATAATTTAAAAAGATTTAATTTTTTCTTTAATATTTTTTATCAATTGTAAAATTATATTTTTTAAATAAATTTAATCAGAGTGCAAAGAAATTAAATATACGGTGGCCGGATAAGGGTTTTTAACTGCATACATTAGTTTGTGTATTAATTCACGTTGTGTTTACTATAATGTTTATCATAACAAAAAATTTAAAAAATAAAAAATTACAATTATCATTGCAGCTTAAAGCATGCGTTTATATATATCTTTTTCTAATATTATTATATAATTAAAATAAGTATATATAGAAGCTATTTGAATGTAGAATGGATACAACCAAAATTATTAGGAGATAAATATTATATATATATATATGAATATACTGCTTTTTAAATTGTAATTATATTCGAACGATATATATAAAGGACAACACTTTACTCTCTATAGGATATAATTCAAAATAAAGATTTTTGAAATATTTGCTGGTAAAAAACTTTGTATCTGGTCCCTTTCTTCCGGCTGCCGTGTGATCTTCCGTACAGACGGTTTTTCACTACGAAAACTTGAAGCCAATATAATTATGATCTATTCATTATCATTTCAATACGGATTTTATCTAAACCCTGTATGTCAAACAGCTGGTGTAAAAAATAACATTAAAAAGAAAAAAGAAAAATTATAAATTTAGTAATTTTGTTAAATAATCAAATTTTCTTTTGAGAAAACGTTCGTTTTACGTATATAATGTCGTGAGTATCAGTTCAGTTTTACGTTCTAATTTAATAAATTTTTAATTTCTTTTCCTTTCTTTCATTTTTTAAAAATATAAATTATCATGCAGTCATATAATTAATATAATGCGTCAAAATTATACCAAAATAAAGGGTATGAAATCGTAATTGTTTTGGAATAGAATGAGAATCTTCGCATTTTATTTCCTTATCTGCATACTTCCATACTTAAAACACAATCCATTTAACAATAAGTCTCACTCTCGTTCCCTCTCATTCGTTGCTGGCGCTGCTTTTTCATTCCAGCCTCTTTTTTCCAATCTAACAGGCAATATAATCAATTACTGATAAATATTATTCAAGCTATTTCTATGGACTATCGCAAATAGAAACGCATTAGAAATGGTATAAAATGGACACATTTTCCTTTCCCGTAAAAGTCTAGACCACTACTGTAAATAATTTTTTATTTTCTTTTTTCTTATATATATATATATACTTTTTTCTTTTTTTTTTAAAGTATTTTTATCATTTAATAATAATTTTCTTTCTCTCTTCTCTTCTCTATTTTTTGTTTTTTTCTTGTCAATTTATTTATTTTTTTCTTTTAAATGTTTTTATTAAGCATATGATGCGCATTAGTTAAGAGATACAAATTACTCAAGAAGTACTTTATAGTCGAAGAGGAGGAGGATTTAGAGAAGATACTAACATTGACCTTCAAAAATTTATGCGCTTTTTTTAAAACTGTAATTTTTTTTAGGCTCATCGCCCTCCCAACCGGCTTCTCAGTCTTTCATTCTTTCCAATTATCAGTTTATATTCCTCTCCCCTTTCTTGCAAGTCTAGAATGCGACAATCCTAATTAACATCACTTTGTTATCTTCACTCAATAGCAACGCGGGACATCATTAAACCTCGCCTGGTGAGCCAAACCCTAATCAAAACATGAAAAACATTTATTAATACCTAATATGAATATAAGAAAAGTAAGTATGACTATAATAAAGATATGTGAATACTATTTACCCAAAACCAGTTCCAAGCAATAGGGATAAAACATTTGTGATGATTAAAGTATAAAGAACTTCTTTAGAAAATAATCCATTTTTACCAACTTTCGCAGTGCGAATGCTATAAGATTTTTTCTTTGTCACTCCAAGTGGATGCTTGAATTTCCAGTCCCTGAAATATAAAGAACAAAAAAGCGTTAGCAATAAACATTAAGACAATACTGCTTTTACTTTGTATTATAAATATTATGTACTTAAAATATAATGTGAAGACCAAAAGTTCTTATGTAATTTCAAAAATTAATTATTCTTTCAAAATATATTTTAGGCTTATCTGTTTTTCATATATTTTAAAATAACAATACTACAAGCTTAGAAAGTTTGAAAAAAAGTAATTGTTTTTTCAAATTACTTAAGTTTTGTTAAAGGGACAGACAATAAGTATAATATTTAACTTACTTTGGTGGTGCCTGGTCAGGGCGTGAGCTCCACTCATAAATCCAATCCATATTTTTATCTAAGATTTCACCTTCCTACAAAGAGACAAAAAACGTAGCGTCATTAATATGCTCTAAGAAAAAATAAATAAATACAAATAAAATAAAAATTCCCAAAAGAATTCGTTTTAACGATAAGTTCTTACAAATGGAAGTAGAGAAACGTAATCGTCTCTTTTCAGAAAATATCAGGATGTATTATTAGGTACATGTTGATAGCAACCCATAAACATACTATTTCTGTTGTGTTAGGGTGATAAGTTTACTTTAAACGACAATCAACAGAATGTTAAGACTTACACAGGCATGGACAAATATAGAAAAAGATTATTGGCACAGAAGAAACGAAAAATATGATTTAAATAAATCATAATTTGTTGTTTCGGTTTCAAATCATTTGGAAAAAATTGAAAAACGTTCGGAACAAAAATACTTCGTAATAGGAATGATTTTTCTATATTTAGAATTAACCTATCGTTTGATATACTTTTTGTATTGCAATTAAATACTATTTACATACTCGCGTAAATTGTACATTAATTAGCTATCAAAAACGTCATTTTTTAAATATGTATACTATCGTACAATTAACGTTAATTATTTAATATTAATATAATGATAATAATACAAAATATGATAAATTAATTATTCTGATTTCTATCGAAAAAAGAAAAAATTTAGTAGGAATAATTTATGATTCACTGGTCTCTCTTTCTCTTTCTCTCTCTCTCTCTCTTTCTCTACTTCCCTTAAATATCCGAAAAAGTAGAACGAAATGTAAGCATGTCAAGAACTCTGCCAAGTTTCATCACACATATGGATATACATAGTTGAATATAAATACGAATAAATGAATTCTCAAAATAGTCAACGTATAGCCGATTTTGGATAAACGCACAGCAGTTATTGTCGAATAGAAATGGGTCTATCAAGAAAAAGTTGGCACCTGCTTCATCATTTTAATGACGCAGCAATAAAACAATGCCCTGATATAGTCGTGATTCAATAGCATGGGAAATAAGTGTGATTGATATATTTTTGTTATCGGAGCGATTAAATAAGTAAAAAATAATAAATAACAAAATAATAATCTTTTTCATAACAACCTCAGGATCGAGTACAATAACCTTGATGATGTGTCTGCTTCTACTATCATTTTTACACTTTTATTTACGTTAAATTCAACAATGTGTGTGAGCGTTATCAATTATCGGTTTCTTGATTTCTATAATATGTCTAATATAACAAACTAATTCAATTCGTAGAAATTTCTTTCGAGTAAATATTTTTCTTTTAAGATATAATTTTCTAACGATAACTCGATCGTTATTTTTTACTCTTTTCATTTGTATCTTCGAGTATACGTACCACAGGATGGTCTACAAGATTTTAAGTTTTTATATTAACAATTTGAAAAAAAATTAGTCTAAAAAGTTTCGAAAAAGATAAATTGATTTTTTTATATTATCTTGAAATTTTTTGACCCACCCTGTATAATATATTTTAATAATCGATTGAAAACCCAAAATTATCGAAGATGTAGATTACAGTTTTTGAAAGATATCTCGATTATTTTTTATCGCAACATGTTTATTCTCTTCCTCTCTCTCTCTCTCTTCTCTGTGCTTATATATATCATCAGGTATTTATTATACAAATATTTAAATAAATTCTTCGATAAAAATAATTATTGAAGATGCATATGATTTTAATGATAGAAAATACATTATTATGAGGGAAATCGATGAATATGTTATATTCTTATAATCCGATTGTAGATTAATTATAAGCGAAACACGAGGGTAATTTGGAACATTTTATTCTTAAAATAAAAATAAAAGAAATTTGAATTCTTCAAATAACTTCAATGGCCTGTTTATTACTCATGTAACTTATACTATCTCTAATGATTCTATTATTTATTATTTAAATACAATATACAAACTCTGAATATTGACAATCGTTTTATTGAATATAAATTCTCTTCCTATGTAAATAGGCGAATAGAAGAATAGCTGTATATCGATGAATATGGACTTCAAAGTTGTTTTAAAATCATTTAATGATTTCCTGTTTTAAATTACATACTGTATAAGATATATGTGTAAACGTAATTATGATTAACAAATTGAACACCGACGCTCATGTTGGTTGTCTTACGAAGAAACATATACTAAACTTTATATTAATTTTTACAGAGTGATTATTGATCTGATTTTACATAGAACATTATCTATGTTTTGTTAAAAATTAGACAAATGCAGAAAAAAATAATAACGACAATTAGAATATGTCAACGTTTAAAATATACTTATATATTGTAAAAAAAAAGAATTCCGCAATAACGCGCGGTCGGCGTTCAATGTGTTAAATAAATTTACTATCTAAGATAAGGTCAAATAAACCATAAAATTGATGAATTAAAAAACGATAAAATGTTTTTTTTACTTCGTTACTTACAATTAATACTTTCTTTTTTCATTTTTTTTTCTCAAACATTAATAAAGTAGTACATATTTATGAGGAATGTAATAAAAAAAAAAAGAAGAAATATATGTATGAATATAAATTAGCTGATTCTTGTTATGCATGGCTAGTGACGTACAATTATGTACGTTATTATTATTTTGACACAATTCTACGTAAAATTTGAATGTTTCATAGTTTAATACATACATACAAGTATATAAATTACTTTATAAAAAGCAATAAATAAATTTTAACAACTTGTAGATAAAACAATAATTTTATTTTAGATAAAATAATCTAATGTAAAAAAAAGAAGAAAAAGAAAATAAACGGCACAAAAATGTATAAGATCGATATTTATAAATTGTAATTGCATATATAAGTGTACATACGCAAATACATACATATATAAATATTTATAGTAACACGTAAAGCATAAAAAGAGTGGTTATTAGTTCACGTGACCTCGGATAGTAATAATTTTATCTAATATAAAAGAAAAGGACAGTAACGTATAACATTCGTTCGTTGACGATCTATGGAAAGAAAAAAACACACTTAATTAATACACACATTATTTTCAAAGTAGTCAAGTGCATTTCCATTCAAATGCATCTTATATTTGTTTATATTTTTTCTTTCTTCAAATAACGATAAATCGTTCTATTGATTGTGGATAATGACTAAAATTGGTCCGTTGTATGCATGTGCATGTGCATGTGCATGTGCATGTGCATGTGCATAGGCCTATATACCTATGCCTATGGTATATGCATATACATATTACATATACACACAACATATGTACGCAATACCATATAGAGTAAGGAGAAAGATCGATTTGTTTGGTACGATGCGCGACAATGTTAAAAGCATTGCGATGCCCCCTTACTTCAAGAACGGAGCCACTGGCACTGCGCATGGCGTGACCACAGAACGCTCTCTGATTGGTCGAGAGATTCTACGTCAACATTATTCGCGCGCGTGCTCTCTCTCTCTCTCTCTCTTTTTTTTTTTTTTTTTTTTTTTTTACATAGATAGCCACGCAAAGCTGGCAGATGCGAGCAACCGCTCATCGAACATAAACAGAGAGAAGAGAGAGAGAGATTACTACATCATAGCTAATTTATATTTTCATTATCGAAAGTTTTCTAGGCGCAGTCCTAAATATAATCTTTATACCTAGAATTTCCCTATATTATGTTTCAATGAAACAATGAACGTATCGATTCCCCACTAGTGGGAACATTTATTTTTCCCTCTTCATGAACGCGCCAAAATCAAATATTTCTGATACACCTGCTCTGTATGCATAAGTAATTATTTGGCGCATATGATATTTCTACGAATAAGAAAAAAAAAAGAAGGAACTTTATGTTGGATTTTTGTATTTTTTCATTCTTCTCTTCGTCTATACAATTGTTGGACTATTCTTAATAGAATAATCATTTGTATTTCATTATCAATGATGTTCGTAGGTTCAATGTTTGATTCTAAAGAAGTTTTTAATAGTATTGAGTAAAAATGAAGATACAAATTTATAGATTACAAGGTAGCTAGCTAACGTGAGATCGAGCACGTATAAACAGATGACGCATAGTTCAATACTACACACACTGAAAGATACAACACTTCTGCATATACACATACACACATTTAAAAATATATAAATTACACAACTTCCTTATCAACATTTTTTGTTTGTATTTATTTTTCTATTCTTATTGTTAGTTGGAATTATTTTTATGAAAGATTATTTAAATTAAAACAATTATCAAACGAATTTATTAAACGCGTACGAACGTCTGCAATATCTCATATTACGACTTTTTACGTTGCTATTACTTCTTTTAGCTTATAGACGGTACTTATGCTTATCTCTTACGACTTATATACGTGCGAGTAAACACGCAAAACGCAAGGGAGATCTTTTAAAGTGTAATTATATCTCAGTCGATTTCCATTTACGCAAAACAATAACGACAATCTATATGAATCATTTGAAAAAGAAAAGAAAAAACTAATAGATTTGCTAATTAAATGAATGATATTTTGTTTTCATTTCAAATCTAAAATGAATAATAAATAATCTTATTGACTTATTGTTGATTTTAATGAATAAAACCTAAATAAAACAATTTCTTCGTGACACGAATACTTTATTTCAAATCTGCATTCTCTCTTATATGGTATAACGTAGGTAATTGATTATTTCACCTTTCTTTTACAATTAGAAATAAAACGGTAGCGTTCTCTAGCGTATTCGATAACACGCATTCAAAATGTATAATTCGCGTGCGGTTGCACACATTCGCAAAAGTCGTAACACGGCTTTAGTACGATTTAAACGGTGGTGCAAGCAGCTCAACCGGTTTGTTGCATCCAACGAGAGGAAGAGTAGAAGCGAGGATTGCTGAGCTTTTCTTTTAAAGATCACACGATATGCCTTTTAATTTTCTTTTTTCTTCTTATTTTTATATACGCTGTAATGTATGCGTATTATTTTCACAGGAAATCCGAGATTACTAGCTCGTAGAATCTTTTTTTTAAATTACATTTCTACAGAAAATTATTTGATCTTATGAAAGATAAATAATTTTATTTTCATTCAGGGATAAATATTTCAAAAATATTTGTAGTCTTTTTTAAAGTTTAAAACTAAAAGTTTAAATGTGTTGCTTGCATTTTCTAATTTTTTTTTTATAGAATATTATTCATTTTATAAAATTTATTATCCATTTTGCAATCATTTATTTGCACAAATTTTTATTAATCATATAATGGAGTATCAAGAGTAAAAATTGAAATAGTAGAGATAAAAATCGTGAATGACGATGTCCTTGATGATAATACATTTTATATTGAATTCTTTAAACGCGTGTCTCTCTTTCTTTTTTCTTTTTTTAAAAAGTAGACGTGAGCATCCAATTGCAGGTAATGCGATGTTAGCTGCGTAAGACACGAACGCGTATATACATAATATAAGAAATATAATTCCGAAGGATTAACGATGCGTGTAACGAGTTATTCACATTTCAATATAATAGAAAGGATAAAAAAACGTTAGATAATACAGGTTGTATAGAAAAAATTTTCCATTAAAGTAAAATTAAACTTTAGTAACGTTTTTCATTCATTCCAAGTATTAAGAAAGTATTCAAAATTTCTTTATCCTTAAAATGAATCCTGAAATTAATTAGAAACAACATTTAAATTAATGGAACATTCTAGAATACTTGGAAAGACTCGTAATTCAAGAAGGTATGACTAGTATACAAAGATTATAGTTATTAAATCTATGACATTGAAAAAATGATTTAAGTAATACACAACACTACAAAAGAATCAGAGAGACTCATAACTTAAAAAAGAATGACGAGTATAAAATTCGCTTATCGTTTAAGTCAATTGAATTAATTTGAATATCTTAATTACCAGAAACTCTGTAAAAAACTTGGAGTGAGATTCCCTTATTTCAAAAGAAATAATTAGTATACCAAGATCTTAATAATTAATTTAAGGTTTATTACTGGAACATATCTATAACGATTATTCGTTGGACGAATGGGCAAGCACATAGCAACGGGTAGCAGTAAAAGAATTATTAAAAAGGCAGGTTGTTTGAGCAAATGCTTTAATCTCGCTTGGCAACGTCGTTACGAACTATAGTAAAGTTAGATATTATAGTAACTTTCACATCTGGCCTCTCTGCCTTACGCGCCCCAAACCTAGTTTCAACTTGTAGGGGAAGATCAAAAAGGAAATACACCATCGATGTTCCATTTACGGTAAAATTTAATCCTACGTGACACTTCCAAACTACCTATAAATTTGGATGCAGATACAATCATAATTTTTGTTGGGAAAAAAAAAAAATAATAAATAAATAAAAGAAATTTTCTCGAAAAGAAAATAGTTCTGGAAATTGTATAAGTTTGAATTGACTTTCTCTTTCTTGAAAGAAAAAAATAAATAAAAACTAAGAAATATCTGAGATTAATCTTCATGCGAAAAATTATAATATATAACCTTTTAGTGTCAATGACTCATATAAAGAAAAAAAAGAAAGAAAGAAAAATTCTACGAAACGAAGAAGTTTCACCTTGTTATCATCGTTACTCACTCTGAAAAAGATATAAATGTTCTTTTGTTATTATTTTTGCTTTGTTATATTTTTCTTTCCCCGCATAAGATAAACTCACCGGTCTCCCTACATAAAAGCCTTCTTATTATCGACACTGCGGGAATAACTAATATACATGGCATGACGAAGAGATAAACGTTTCACATACATACATTGTAGATTTGAGCTACAGGTGTATGTTAAGTCTTTACCAAGAGATACTACATACGTTTTATAAATAGCTGATTATTATTTATTTGCGAGAACATTGTTCCTTTTTTTTTTACATAAATTAATACGAAGAATATTCGAGAAAGTTATACGAATCGAATCGAATACAATACAGTATTCCTTGCCAATATATAGGGCATACCAGATTGCCTGTTCTTATTTCTTCCTGTGGCATGTAAAATATTCAAGTTAGCAAAATTTTACTTCAGCATATACTAGAATAATAAATTATATCTAAACGAAGATGGTGTTAAAATGTATTTCATATAACTGATGTCACAATTCACGAAATTATTGATTTTTACGGAATATGGAATACATCTATTTTGGAACGTGTTTGATATTAACACGTCATTTTCGAATATCTAGACATATACACATAAGATATAATGAAATTATTAATTATGTTGAGAAATATAAAAATGAGTGTTAGAAAATTTTTTATAATATTCAATAACGTATTGAGAAAGTATACCATGACACATGACCATGGCGAACCAAAATAGCCTCCTACTAAAAGCGAAGATCAGAATGAATCGTTGAAATGAATTAGAAAATGACGACGAAGTTAATTCGATTACAATGATCATACGAGCTTCTTGTCCTACTTCTTGTCAGTAGGTTGTACATATAGGTGACGAAGGATGCAAGATGGTAGACGTAAACCAATTACGGTGAATGATGCCCCATCTTAGTAAACCTTATCAAGAAATTCTTACTTGGTGAATATACGGGAAAATTGAAACCGCGGTAGAGGACTTTGGTAATTATATCACAAGAGAAACAGTTGGTGATTGTAAAATAAACTAGTTTGACTTCATTTCGATATACTCTAGTAAGCAGGTTTACGAACTTTTGTGTATTATTGTCACTTGTTATAGAATGAAACACTTCAATTTAAATCGTACGAAAGTACATACTCGAGGAAGTTGTTCATATAAAGTGTTTCCGTTTAAGTTTGCTGGTATTTGCTAAGTGATTTGAACTACGAAGAGAACTAAGTATGTACTAATTACTTTACCATTGTTTTTCTTATCGTAGATTTTGAATAATAATTATCATTAAGATCAATCAAATGCATACACTATTTTTTACTTAAAACGTTAATAAATTCTATTAAGTGGTTTCTTATAATTTTCCTAATGTGAGATTATTTGAATGTAAGATAAAAAAGAAAAATATTTGGAATATAAATAATATAATAGAAATATATGAATTTTTCTTGAAAGCAATACCTAAGGTGTGTTTGGTTAAGTTACCGCACCTATCGGTGGAAGAAATAATGTTCACAGACTGCATGATAGAGTCACTGATCCGAGGATCTTGTAAAGAAGGTGAAGCTCGTTCGATAAAACCAGTTGCACAATATGTTTGTATAATCTCTCTATTTATTCGTCAATTATATACGAAGTAACGTCAACTATTTGGAAGAATAAATGGAATTACTTTGAAGATTTGTTTTTATTCAAAATTTGATTTCGATTTTTCGCGCGAAGATTCTTTTGCTACGACTGGAAGTATTGTTTCTTTCACACGGGTCAAGTAGGTAGATCATGTTTGTGGTTTCTTTATGGAAACCTCTATAATCGACCACAAAAGTTAAACATACGTATACACGATAGATGTATATAAATTTGTGTGTACGTGTACGCGTAGATGCTTTGCTTTACTCAGAAATTTATGAGACACACCTCGCAACAGACGGCTTATTACGATCGATTTTCTAGACTGACCTTGTTGCTGTAATTTATGTAGACGCCTTTGAGCTCATCATCAGTACAGAGTTCCGTATTTGGGCTGTTAGGTGGACTCTTTGGGCTAAAATAAGAGAAGAATAGATATCTCATGATCTATCGTTAAACATTTTTCAATTATTTCAATATGTCGAAATTTCCAGATTTACTTTTACATTTAGAAAACTCGCGTTTGGGTTTTCAATAAACCAACGTCGAGCTAGAAATAAATTTCAAAGAATGATAATAATCATCATTTTTTCTTCTATCCCCGTTTCTTTTTCCTTTTTTTTTTTATTTTCTTTTAAAAGGGTAAAAGACGGTCATTAAATCGTTTCTTTCTCGCTAAATAATTTTCTTTTAGAACGAGAGTCCAAATAGCGTACAAAGAAACACTTGCTCCAAAAAAAGATTCTTTCTTCTTTGTTCGTGAGTCATCACAAGATGGTTTTTTTTTCTTTTTTCTTATATCTTAAGATCCCTTCTCGTCGTGAGAAGAATGAAAAGCGACGAAGAAATATAGAAGATGCTGACTTTTCTCTCCTCGTAGAAGACACCATGCGTTATGTAGAACGTTGTGATTACACCGTTGAAGAAACATTTTTACCTCGACAATATCGTTATTAATATTTTTTACCTTTACGGATTTTGTCAACAACAATCCCTCATTTATAATAAAATATTATATGTATATATACATGTATTATATATAATAAATATAATAAAAATAATAAAAATAAAAGAATACAAGAGGAATTCTTTTTGGGATAACAAGCTTCTATTCTCTGTGTATTTAGGACAATTTGTGGAACGGAAACAATAAAAAAAAGTGAACAATATTCACCTGGCTCCAGGAGTACCCCGACGTGAAGATGCTAAAGAGTGCCTTGCTGACGACTGGGTTGAGTCTCTCTGTGCTTCTCTCAGAAGTCGTAAATATTCTTCCGAACTGCTGAATGGCAGTGGTGTTCGCCTTTCCGACGATATTGAGTTCACCTCCACCCATGATTCTGTAAATTTCAATACAAATTTTTATACAATTGCGAGAAAAAAAAGTCACTTTTTAAACATATATCTTTAACGATTTTTGTAAGAATTTAATTTCGATTTAGACGAACCATGAATTAGTTGAAATTTATATCGTTGAGATTTAGCAGATCCTTATGCATCCGGAGTTAATATTAGCATTTGTTGCTTTTACCTAGACTACAATAAACTTGGAAATGAAATGAACGTGAACTATGTTTACCGTGGATTATCACGAATTTCACGACAATCGAAAAGTAATAGTAATGAAGAATAATAATGTGAGGGAATTATAAGTTGAAACGTTATCAAACGATAAAAAAAATGAATGCAAGACAAAATCATGGCCAAGGCCTCTTATTGTTAGTTTTAAATAACTTAAGTAATCAAAACAATCGTTATTGCATCATATGCAGGTCTATACCGAGCTGATACTTTGATTTATTAAGGAAGTTATTCGATCGGTAATCATACGAACAATAAATGGATTTGATGTTTATGAACAATTTTCAATTTGAGAACCACCTTTGTATTAATACAAATATTATAACATACATGAAAATTGGATTACAAAACTAAAACTAATGTAGATATGCAAAAATTATTTAGTTAGCTAATATGTTAAATTAAAAATGTTCAATTTAAAAATAATTGAATTCAGTATCGTTTATTTCGATATAAAATACTGCTAATTTTGACGATATTTATTGACCAATCATAAAATCGATTGAAAACATATGAGGGTAGGTTGAAAAGTTTTGAGATTATGTCGAAAAATAAAAAAAGTTTGATCGAAAAAAAAATAATTTTTATGTCAGACTAAAGACTTTTAAATCCACTCACATATACATCGGTAATTATAACAGTTGAATAAAAGTAACAAAAATTATTAATATTCATTTTATAATATAAATAATAATTGCTACATAAAATATATCAAAACAAATCTTTTCAATTTAATACACTGTCATAATTACTGGCACATATGTTACATATTATACATATACAACATATAATATATATATTTTTCTATTTATTCGAACGAGAATGATATACATCCATGATCATGCAATCTGTTGCTGTCATAATCTACTGTAAATATCACGTACACAATGTAATACGAGACCTTCGTTTCTGCTTAGAATACTCTCATGAAGTCGTTTTCGTTGTTCATTCCTCGTTCTGTACTGATTACAGTTTTAAACGTCCATGAAACATCTCTATAGAAGCCTACCACGCTTATTCTACGATCTCATTCACGATTATATGAAAATGCAGACATTGTTATTACGTGAAAACAAACGAGTTTGTATATTGAGAAGTTCGATTTACTAACAATAAGTGTTGCATGCATATAGCTTGCAGCATGCACTGTATTGCTACTTACGACGACATAAAACTGCAATATATTTTACTATTTCTACACTTTCATAATGTCTGATTAAAAAATGTCTTCGACCATCGTGAGAAAAAAAGACCACGCAATCAATACTAATCAGCTCGCGTCGTCGTATTTCCTAATCAGTATCGAATTTACGTAAATATGTTTATAGTATGTATAAGCGTGTAACGCGTAATTAAAAGCGTTACTACGCTTGTATGTTGCTTTTGATATAATTAAATAGTTAACTCAATGAAATAAATTATTTACTTTTACAAGCCGACGAACATTTATTTTTAATTTAATAATATATGTATATATTATAAAATATACTTCTATTAATATTTAAATAGATCTAAATATGGATTTATATATGTATTTCTAGATTTTTGTTCAGAATTATTAATATAAACATTGATAATAATATATATAATATATATAATAATTGATAATAATATATATATATATATATATATATTTAATTTTGTTAACAATTTAAAAATATTTCATTTATATTAGAAAATAATTTTAAGTATCGTACGTTCATTGAATTATAAAAAGAAAACACATCACGAAAAGAGGCAACTATAGATCGATTAATTGTTTCCTTTCTCAGAAATAAAAGTTAAGTAAGAAGCATTGGATACAACGAAATGGATTTCTTTCTTCAATGACCCATCTTTATCAGCAAAACGAAACGAATGAGAGATAAAATATATCTATTATCTAACATTATTTCTATCATGATCGTTATGTGCATGCAAATACTGAAAGAACCTTTATCAACACTATGTTCTTCTAGCATCCTATATACGTATATACATATATAATATCTGGAAGACCCAGCGCATTCGTTCGATAAAGGAGAATGAGAGCATAAATAATTTTTTCTATAGTTGATCAACTGCGTAGTTGAAGTCCTTTTATTTTATTAGAGAAACTTTTATCTTAAATAAAAGTCTGGAAAAAGAATCGACTTAATTTGAAAAGCATTTCCAGAGAGAATCTCCAATTATTGCAATTTGTTATGTCATAAAACCCGTTTTTTTAATTCCTCATTATTTTTCAAAATAAATAGTGGCTCGTGAGAAACTCCGTATATAAAGAATACGTGGTTGGGAAAATAACTTTTATTTCCCACATGAATCAAGTTTGCTTAAAAATAAAGTATAATATGAAGATACAGTACATCTAGTTTCTCTTGTACAATTTTATTACTATCTTTCCTATATGCGTATTCATTTTTTTTTTTTTTAGTTATTTTATCCAATTTTCAAATAAATGAAAAATAAATACGATTTTCTTTTCTTTTAACATTTTTTGACATTTTGTTTATATTCACACGTCAAGTCCCATTATATGTAATGAAAATTTATTGGGTAATTCCTGCAAGTTAAATGGTGTTTTAATTATCAAAAATGTCTTCGTGTAAAGACAATTACATCGACAACATCGAAAGCTTGTTTAATTCTTCTAACGTCTCGACAATTAACAGCACCAAGAAAGGAACAATATCCGAGAAATCCGAAAGAACATTACATTTGAATGAAAATGAGAACTGCGATTACGTGATTACCGAAGATTTAGTAATAATCGATATGAATGAGTTACGTCAATTAATGAAACTGATGCAACCGATTATAAATTCATAAAACGAAGATTACTGCAAATTTTTTAGTAACAATATTTGAACAGAACTAATTGTAAGTAAAAATTATTAGCGAATTAAAATTACACAATTTTCATAATTATAATTCCATTAGTGACTTCTTATTTCTATGAAATTAGGCTTTCGGCAGTTGTTGTGATAAAATTTAACACGAGTATCGCCTGAAAATTAATGTGGAGAAAGAAATACTATATTATCATAACAAGGATTCATCCATAATTAATAAATCTTATAAGTATTTACTCTTATAGAGATAAATACTTGTTTATAGAAGAAAATAAATAATCTAATTAGCATAAAATTATTGTTTTCCTAGTACAGTAGAACAAGTTAAAATCAGCGTTGATTGAACGTCACATTTTAAATGATATTAACCACAACAATTTAAAAAAAGGAAACATTTTTAGTAAGCTAACGGCCGGACGTGGAATCAAAGAAGTAGCAACTTGCACACGTGCTTCTTATCAAGGCCACACGTGTTGAATACGCGAGTGTTGTCATAATGCACCTTGTCATGCATTTACATACATCCTTCCGATATTTCAATGCCCTATAGTCTTTGACAACTTTTATTTAATTAACAATAAGTTTAACTCGCGACACGATTATCTGTCAGTTATAACACATGCTTAAAATAATAGTGTTGTAATGCACGGTAAACAATAAATAAATTATAATCAGTTGTCATCATTTATATTTTCTTTTCACAATTTTTGTATTTCCTCTCTCTTATATATCCTTTTGTATAAAATTTATATCAAATTATTTTAATTTTATATCAAGATAGAAAGTTATTTTTCCAATAGAAAATTTCTCGCCAATAAGAAATCATCGTAAGAGGAATCTTAAATTTCCTTAATGCGAAAACTTTCACCAAATTATTATATAAGAAAAACGATAGCGAGAAAAAGTAATGAGAAGAATTTTTACGCAGTCATGTAATTCATCCATCTAACTTTCTTCATTAGACCAAAGAATCAAACAGTTATTTTAGTGTTTCAAACAAGATTTATTCTTTTTCATTAGATATTTTAATCTGGAAAATATCGAACAGTTGACCTCATACAATCAAGTATTTTAGGTCAAACATTTATCGCAAATTCGTGGTTGGTAATCATGTAAATATATTTTGCGACGAGGATATCACTTGTGGAGTACTCGAAAGAAAAAAAAAAACAGTAAAAAAAATTTCAAGAAAAAAGCAAGCTGATATTGCAAAGTATTCATACGATTTCGTTCTTAGCGTTTTGCAGTAATAGTTTCAAAACGAAACGGAAACTTTCGAGTATATTGCACTTTAAAGTAAAGTAGAAGTTGCCTTTGTTTTATGTTCATAACCGAACGTATCATTCAAAAGTCAATTGGACACAATTTAATCTAACGAGTTTTTTTATCTGACCAGGAAGGGAAGGATGATAAAAAGTTTTATCTTTCTTTTTCCCGTTTTAAAATGTTAACCGAGGAGAACAAATTCTTTGAATTCCATTGTAATAAAACTTATATGAAACGTGACGAGGATACCGAGATAGACCGTGTTGTAGACAAAAAAAAACAAGTTTAATAAGCAAGTCACGTGATTTTAAATCACAGTGCGCGGGAGAGATTTAAACGAGCCGAGAAGAAAGGGTTCTCAGTATTTAAAAATAGAAATCATCTGAATGGCCTCTTTTCGTTGATCTGTCGCTTCGAATACGATTTAATTATTACACATTGTCTTTCTCTGTCTAACTGATGTTTTTTTTTTATCCATTAAACGAAACAATCGATTTAATTCACAACGAAGTTATTTTCATATTCTTTTATTTTTACTTTACCACACAAAGCAGAAATTTTCATCCTGGGTCACATTTTTCATTAAAATATAAAAATAGTTCGCATATGTTCGTTACAGGGGAGTTTTAATTATAGAGAATCGTCGGATGATAATGGATTAAAATAAATTTATATGCACATTAATTAACTGTATTCAATAAAAACACAAAAATTGACGAAGTAATATTTGTTGTTTTACTTTTTTTTCCTTTTAATATATACCATTATGAGTAAGTGGAACGTGTAAAATTACAGTTTTCGCGAATGGATCCCCGCTCATAAAATTTTGGAATTCCCTGACATAAAGTATATTTAAATTATATTAACACTTTCGCGACCGGCGTTTTTGTGGCGAAATATCCTTGACTGAATACTGCATACAATTTTCAAAAGTTTTAAACTGAATAAGATTTGTATTTAAATAGTGATATGAAGATAGAAAATATTGCTTTATTACATCACACCTGTAATTATGTTTTGTTTAAAATTATAAAAAAAAAAGAAAGAAAAATATTAACTGTGTAAAAAAATATATATATATATAAAAAGGTGAAAAAAGTATTGGCGAGAATGATTCACCAAAGAAACATATTTCATTGGTAGAAAGGTTTAACTTGGGTCAAGCTTCTTTTCTATTACTACATTTCTGACGTCATTCTCTTTCCTGAGACACAATACACAGACACAAAGAAACAAAACATATTCTAGGAAGCGTCCTGCAACTTCTAAGGAAAGATGAGATCGATAGCCAACGATAATAAAATTCTAAGTAGAAAGTATGTAGATAAAATTAAGAAAGAAATTGTACGACGAGATAAAAACAATGAAAAAAAAGTCTTTGAACTTTTTAATCCTTGATTAGAAAATATTCAAGATAATTATTATCTTTTCTTATTAATTGTTATTTTCACAGATATACGCATCTGTAATTATTTTTATTAATATTCCAACGTATTGTTATTGCATGTCGTATATTTATAAATTTTATAAATACGTCGCACATAATATACAATACAATATATTACAATAATAACAATTCGCGAGCATCAACAGAATGTCTAAGAAAAAAAATCTCTGATGTGAGTAAAACGTTTGTTTGTTTCATTTAAATTTTTAAAATAAAAATTAACACCAGAGTGGTAACTCATGTCAGAAAATGATTGGGAATGATACAGCCATTGATCGCCTGACTCTTGTCACGTTTTCTGTTTTCTTTCAAATGAGTAAGCAAACACACTAAACGTAAGGCACCATCTTCCAAAGCAAAGAAGACTGGCCAACAAAAACGTTGGCCATGATCTTGGATGCAAGAGACACGTTCTCGCCACGTTATATGTATGTATATGCATATGTATATAACGCTTCGTTTTAAATAGACGAAGAAGATCGATACGAGTTATGCCGACAGGACACTGACCTAATTGTCGGCTTTGTGATCACTTCTACGATAGTATGAGCAATTAGAAAAAGTCAATCTTTCTTTATATTTGATAACAATAATAATAATAACAATAATAATAACAATAATGATAAAAATAATGGTAATGATGATGATATATGAGTCAGATCTGAATATAGTACACTCCGTTGTCTTCCTAATCGAACAAAGAGTATATAAGAATTTAATCAAACAAATGCATTTCTATATGAAATATTTAAACATTTTTCCAAGATATCAAGATTGGTTAAAAGTTCCTGAATTTGTATAATTTTATAATTAAAAAAAAAAAAAAAAGAAATTAGCTTGACAAATTTTAAAACAAAATAACTGATCAATAAAATCATCTGTAAAAACTTTTGGCCCACCTTGTACAAACTATAAAAAGTATATCAAACATTTTATCAAATTTTTATTGCGTTGTATGGGCGTACGTAAGTTATATTTTATATTATATGTATCATTTGTTTTAAGTGGACAAAAACAGTTATAAATATCTATATCTACAATTATGTGTACTATAAACCAGTAAAGATAAAAAGATTTGATTCTATTGGTCGTGTGATGATATTATTTTCGTATAATCATCGCACGACTTTGTTATTTTTTTTTTATTTTATATTTTATCAGTGTGGTCTATATGCCAACAGTCTGATGCTTCTTTTGCATATTACAAAAAGTTTCCTATATGTGTTTTGTTTAGAGTTAACAGATGCTACTCTTTGATAACTGATAATTCCGTCGAGTTTAATCGTCGTCTACATCTTCAGAATACACTCTGGTTAATCTAACCACTCGTTTATCTCTATTTTTTTTGTTTAATATTAGAGAGAACTTAACATAAAATATATAGAGGATGTCTCAAAGTCGCTTTACCGAAAGAAATGAAAAACAAACATCTGTTAAAAAGAATTTCTAATTTTTCAGTTCATTATACTATCTTTTTGAATCATTCTTTATATAATTATATATAAATAGTCATCATTTAGTTTTAAAATATACAAAAACTAGAAAAAAAACGGGTCACAAAATAAAATGTTAAAAATTCGTTAATCGGAAAAAACATTTGTAAACACAAGGAGGTAAACATCGAATAGTATGTATGCGAACATTTAAGTAAGTTACACAAAATACGATTAGATCGATACATGTCAGAAAATACTTTTTCAAGATATGTTAGATGATATAGAATGATAGAAAGGCTCCGTAATAAAACTGATTGTGAGTCGTTATTACGTGAACATGCTCGAACGATGACAACGATGACGAGAAGAAAATCACAAGCCATTTTATCGCTTGATTTCGAGGAAATTATGAACGAGTATACTTTTTGATATTCTTGAAAATATATATAGATAGTATATATGTTTATAAGTAATTATGTACAAAATGTCTATCCTCAATTTAAGTAGGTGTAATGGATATAAATTAACGAGATATGGATGCCTGTCAAGATTTCATTTGTTTACTAAATTTTCATCCCACATGACTCCTCCTTTCTCTCTGCCTTTTTTTTCTTCTTGCTATATAGTACGTTTAATCACATTTAAATACTAATGTACTATTTTGAATAATTACATAAAATCGTTAACATTTAAAATTTGTTTGGCATTTAAAAGACACAAATTGAAGTTGTTTGTATGTTACTGACGAGATTTAATTGCTCCAAACATCTTTTTTCTTTCATTTGATTTGAATATGATAGAGTTTTACTTTAGTCTATTTTATTTAATAATTTTTTCAAGAAAATATGGAATCGACTGAACGTTTATAAACATGCCTAGACATTAATATATATATATATATATATATATGCGCGACATATTCGTCGACGACGCAAAAGAAACGGTGTTTGTTTACGCTGTGAAAGTAAAAGAACGCGGCGCAATGGCTACGTTTTGTCGGCAATGACAGCTGCTGGCGTCCTGCGTTTACATGGTATCTGGATAAGCTCCATTTGATTCGACATCAAAAGTAGACGATCATTTTTCGAAACAAACGAAAGAACAGTTGTATATTTTATTTTATAAGAAAAATAATGTGATGTCTATCTGTTTACTTAAATACATCCTATACGAAAGAGATACGTTGGATCGGTGATAAGAGTTCGTTTTAATCGATGCCAATTTCGCAAAAACTTACTCCGAACGATGACTAATTCAAATATTTAAATATCCGCAAAACGGTAAATTACATTTGATGATAATAATATATTTTGAAATGTGAGATAATGGGCGTTGATTCGATCGGTACTTACCCCCTAAAAGCTCATCCGAACTGTATTTCGCCGAGGAAAACATATTTAATACACAAGGAAAAAAAAACTAGACTTTTTGCTGAACAACAATCACGAATAGTACGACGATCCGAAGAGACGCATGCAGACGACGATTTGTTTCGTGCGCGTATACGTATCAACACAACGTAGAGACGCGAAGCACTTGCGACGAATTATCGCGATAAAATGCTAGCCCGGGACTCTCACGTAGCTGCTCTGCCTTTGTTTTGATGAAACGTCAACACATACAACTCGCCCGCGCTAACCAATCGTGTGGCCGCGCGCCTCACCGGGTACTACCGCGCTAGTCAAGTGTGTTTAAAAGTACTACCTTATTCAAATCAACATTTATCATTCTTTTCCTTTCTTTCTTTCTTTCAGCAAGATACAACCCTAAAACAAAAAGATGTTAAATAACGATCTGTTAAATGCTATATAAAAATGAAATTTGATTCCAGAAATTGAATATTCCTTATGCTTATTTAAAATATGAAATATCGATATGAATAAAATTATTATTATTACTAAATCTCTTACCATTTCTACAGGGATATATACATAAATGTATATTTTATTGATTAGAATTATGAAATATTTTTCAAACATTATTCGAAGTAACAAGCATAGCAATAACAAAATAATTGATCTTATTTGTATTTTTAGATATATCGAATATATTAAAATACATGTATAGTGATTTTGTCGATACTGTTGTTCCTTTCGCACGCGAAGAATTGTTTTAAAAAATAACGTATCTATCTTTAATTATTGTATCATATGTTTATTCATTTAAGAAAAAACTATATTATTAAAGAGATAGAGAAACAGTTAAACTAAATATATGTTATTATTTAAAATAATTTTATATTGACATATTGACGTATATTTATAACCGCGGCCGCTGCTCTCTTACTAAACGCGATGGCAGCACCGTACAACGTATTATTCGAAGCATTAATTTGTGTTGCACGACACGTATTTTACTCATGTGCTGCGTAAATCGTGATTTCTACGTCAAGTCAACTCAATTCTCGTTATCAAAAGGTATGTTTACACTTGAATACATAGTGAGAAATGAAATTTGTATCCTCAATAACAAAAGACGTTCGGTATGAGATACGAATAGGGAGAATAAAACTTCTTCGGGAATCGTTCTGCGTAGATTGTTAAAAATGGTCGCCCCTTAGGTGATCTGTCAAGCAATTTTGCTCCATTTTGTAATTATTATGAACCGGTAGATAAAAATATTCTAAATTTTTAGTATATAACCCATTTCAAGATTAAATTCGAGGTAATTACAAGTTAGATCAACCTAGGAGCATATTATATACCAATAAACCTCCCATATGTGTAAACGGAACGTAGCATTCTTAAACGTTCCGTTTGTTGTCTCTCAAGGTGTCTCCAAGAGTTCAAGGTTCTATTTCGTCAGGCACTTTCCAAACTTTCTGTTTTCGTCTACATGTCTAATTGTCAGTAAGAATACAAAGAAGATAAACTATCCATATGGTATTTTTTACATATATTGCATAGAATTGTTAATTGATCAATGCAACTAAGAATAACAAACCTATATATATATGTATATATATATATATGTCAAGACGGAGTGTATTGACTTTGGGTTTGTTAAGTCCAAGTTTTTTTTTTTTTTCAATTTTTTTGCACGGAAGATAACGGCTTATGAACAAGATAAAGATTACTGTGCTTTTTATATATATATATGTATCATATATAAAATATATATAGATATATATATATATATATATATTTTATATATGATACATATATGAGGAAAATAGAACAATTTTTATTTTATAAGAACATTATGTGTATATGAATTTACATTACTCGATGACAGAAAATTTAAAAAAAATTTTTCGAATTCTAGCTTATCCTTTAGTAAAGGATCATTTATAAAAGTGGCATGAAAATGAAGATTCCAAGCAGTGGTTCGGGTAATGGTTATTATGGCCATGAGAATAGTGTGATAACATACTTTGATACTAATCTTGATACGGAAGCTGATGTTCAAGGAGGTAGCGATGGTGATTTTTCGGAATATCTTTGGATGGAGAACGAAGAAGAATTTGATAAACAGGTCTTTCTGTTACACATTCATGTTTCTGTTATAAAAATTAATTTAAGATTTATTTTTAAAATTCTAAAATATATATTCAGTATTTATAAGTTAAAAAATTTAATTGCAGGTACTGCAACAATTGGAAGAGGAAGAGCTAATGGAAGAATGTTTGGAGGCTATGTTAGAAGAAGAAAGACAACATGAAAGAAACATTAATTCAACTGCTTGGTCGACTGCCGCTAGTATTCCGTACAATAATGGTGCTGAACTTTGTCAACAACTTAGTGACTTGAGAATGCACGATGATCTTGCCAAACAGGTACCAATATATTTTTCTTTTGTTTTGAAATCTGAAATAAATTCACTTATATATTAAAATTCTATTAACTGTGCTACATTTTAGAGTACATTAAATCCAGATGCAGCTGAATTCATCCCAGCATTCAAGGCAACAGTGACGACTGTAAGTACACCAACAGAAGTCACTGCTGAATCATCGTAGAGGGCCTACTTCTTTTTGTTTAAGACACTATTATAAGGCTACTATCGTAGCTAAATTTCGCAATCCTTGATCAAGCAGCCGTATTAACAAAATCTAATTAGGAACTAAATGATTGTGGCTATACTTAAAACAGTATGAAATAATATGACAGTGGGTAGTATATGACATTGTTATTTAATGTCGAAAATTAGTAAGATCAGTTGCATAATTACTGACAGATAGATGCTGTACATTACTCACATCTTTATGGACAAAATAATATCCTATATTATGGCCATTTAATTTTGTGCCGGATTTGTGTTGACAGAATTAATAGCTACATGCATAAGTTACTGATTACATAAATTTATCTAGGTTAACATCCCTTTCATTATGTTTCTTCTTCTCAAATATCATTTATTGCATTCTTTACTGACATTTTATTGAATATATATATAATATATTGATATATATAATATATATATATCAATTATGTTCCAATGAAATATTAAATATGCTTCAGACGTATAAATGATAATTATTTGTGTGCATGGAAGGTATATTAAACTTTTAAGATTTTATTAATACCTTTAAAAAATAAAAAATAAACAAAAAAATAAATAAAATCACATAAAATAAAATAAAAAGAAAAATAATTAAAAAAACCAATGTGTTAATGCAATATTACAAGTTACATTTATATTTTACTTATGTATACACTGAAACGAAGGATAACAAGAAAATTTTTTGTTCTCTAAAATGAGTTTTTTTTGCAATGTATTACTTTTAAAGCTTTGTATATCTTATTGAAGATGAGATAATAGTTCATTTATCGAACTTAATTTATATTTAATATGTTTTTTAAAATCATTGGAAAAAGTGCTGTACTTGCTTGTAAAAAAAATTATGTAAAATATTAATCATGTGTCAATATATGAGAAAACTTTTTAATAGTTTATAATATACCACATTAATATTAATAGTAATAATATTTATATTTCTCGATGTATCTAATGGTACATAATATTATGTTGAAAATTCTATTATTGCATTGAAAAACTTATTTTTGAACATTATACAAATTTGTTTTGAATTCTTTGTCAGCAATCATTTAATAAATTGAAGATCTCAAGTGAAAGTCTTACTCAGGCTGTGAGGGACTCTTTGACTCTTATTAGTTTTACTAAGAGAGTCAGTACATTACATACTTATTTTCTAGAAGAATTTTTATGAGATGGCGTAACAAAATTTCATAGATTATAAATCATAAAATGTACCCTTATTGAAATTTAATGAAGCATATATAGTATATATCGTGAATGTACTTGAATTAGTCTGATTGAATTGCAAAAAAGATAAAATTTAAAATTTCTATTGATTATTGGAAATGCATTGCAGATTTATTTACAAATTTTTTTATAAATTTAATTGTGGAGAATATCAATTAAAAGTGTACATATAGTGTGCTATATGTTTGTTTATGTGGCTTAGTGTTTTATTTATAATTTTTTTTTTTAGATTTATTCGTATACAATTACTGTCTGTAAAAAGAAAATGTATTCAAATAGAATATTATGTTTATTTTCATTATCATTTTTGCAATTCAATATTGTACTAGTGATAAAAGCAAATTTGTCACATACATGTAATATATATGGAAGTATATAAAATATGAATATACAAATTTGTTAGCTCCCTCAATAAAAAAAATTCTAATATCATGACATCGTAAAATTGCATAAATAGTATGTGGTAAATATGTTTTATCGCAACCTTATATAGCCTGGATGAGTGCTGTGATTATAAAAATGAAGTAAACAGATTTCATTTAGTACAATATTATTTGCATTAAGACATCACACTATATTTGTTATATATTATGCTAGTATGTTACCATTCCTGCGCTACACAACTCTCATTAAGTGATTTTCAGCATTAAATCTTTAATTAACCATTTCTTAATCTCATTGTTTAAATTATAAATCAATTAAGTGATTCTTTTTAACTTGAATTCCTTTTGCATAATCATTTCATCTACTTATTGAATTTATATACATTATTTTTTATCAAAACAATATATTCTAATAAGAGAGAAAATTTCGAAACAATCATATTTACATGTTCTCGAATATTATGTAGTACTATGAAAGAAATTCAAGCAAATTTAATGATCTCATTGCACATAATTTATAATTTGAACTAATGTGCGGTTATGTAGACTGATTTTTTATCTGTAACATTTTAGGTTGAAATCTTCAGCTAAATCTCATATGGATATTCAATTCCACTTTGAAATTGCCAATCTAATCTCTATATGGAAACCAATGGGCAACTGAAAATATTATCCTTCTCTGCATAGTATAAAACTGAACAAATATGGAATGACTCTGATTCTTAGAGAATTTTGTACTAAGTCAAGTCAGAAATTGCTATTTGTAAAAGAGTTTGGTAATGGAATTCATTCATGATATATAAGATAAAAAACACGAATAAAATAGAATAAAATAAATAATAAAAATATAAAAAAAATAAATAAATAAAAAGATTGTGTACAGTTAAGTCTGTACATGACGAAGTAACTAAAAAAAAGTTTCTGAATGTAAAAAAAAATATATATCATTGTTGTATTCATATATATAACACTTCTTAATCTTTTAATCTGTGTCAATTTACACTTAATATTTTTAAATATGAAATTTTTGATAGCACGTCTATACATTGCATTCAACTTATTGTATTGCACCTTTCACAGATCAAAGCTTTTACAAAAGTAAGCCTCATAATACTTGTGCAAGTTATTCTTTCAATATTTTGTTATGTATACATCTTAAGAACAATTTAGTAGAGAGAATAAGATATACAACTTTTAACTCATTATATGTATAATAATTTAGATTTGGAAAATACACATTTGCAATATTTTTTAACATCATTTTTTAACATGTGCAAAATATCAGTTTTATCGATCAAGTAACATTAATTTATTACATTCTGCTATTATTTCTCGAAATCAAAATTGTAAAATAGAACAAAATTTTAGCCTTTTTTTTATTTAAAGCATTCATTACTTTTTCCGTTTTGTTATGTATAAACGTAAAGAGTAAAGTAATGCATATATATATATATATATAAATAAGTTCATTCAGAATATATTCACATATATTTGGAATATATTCTTGAAATGCACGTATACATTATCCTTTGGATTTTGTAATAAAGCAGCGTATAACGAATTAATGCGAAAATAGCATATGAATTTAGGATACCCTTTTTATATATATATAAAACACCGTATGGTTTTATATCCTATAATAATCATTAAATATTGCATTTATGAGTTTTCCATCTGGTTTGTTGAAACCTTTTTCTGTAGCATTTATGTAGCATATAAATAAAGTATAAATATATGTAGTGATAATGTTCCATTTGTCCTCATTGTAATTCTTTTTTTATTGCAGATCTGATTTACTAAATTATGCTTACCCTATTTTTATAATCTTTTATATGTTGAATATAGTAGTGTATATGTAAATACAGAAGTTCCATTGATAAAAATAATATTTAAATGAATACACATTGCATTGGGTTAAAACAAAAATATGTTAAATAAAAACTAATAATATTAGTATCTAAAAAGCATCACCTCTCTTATATTTGGCAGTATATTGGTATTACATTTTCCTTTATGTGTAATTTTTACATATATTAATTATTGTTGTTTACAATAGTAAAAAATTTTTTCCATTGTGTATTTTTGGCATATTCACTGCATAATCAATGCACTCAATTAATTTTGTTATATAATTATTATTACTTTTTTTAGATACTTTAAATTATATATTTCAACATCAAATATTAATTGGTACATGCTTAAACGAATAAATTAATTACGAATAAGTCTTATGTAAATTTCAAAAAGAATGAAAAAAAAATTGCATTATTAAAGTAAAAAATTAACATATATTTACAGTATCAATTAAAATTTGTCCTAACTTATAATTTAATTTCAATATTTGTATCATTTCTGTAAGAATGTTTTTAAAATAATGATTAATCGGCAGATGTATTTTATGAATATATTAAAATTTTCAACAAGCTTAGTTTTTAATTAAATCATGCTTACGAATTAATTACATGTATTGATATGAGTTCTAGTTATATGTAATTGCAGATCACTAGCTGCATTGATTACTGTTAAAATATAATTGAAAATAATAGATTAATTGAAAGTAATTTCGAGATATTTGTTTTATATGCTATTATAACATCAATGTAGTTTTTTCTTATAATATCCAGATTATGTTATTATTTTTCTTATTATAAATACATTACCTACGTAAATCAATTAAAGATTTGTATCTCTTTATTAATTTTTATTTCGCGTTTATAGTATAAAAATTTTAAATAATATTCACTCATAAGTATATAATAATATTTATTTATATACACATATATCTTTTGCTTGAAATACTCTGTTGACAGTCTCTTTATTTCAATTCAATACTGAATTTTAATTAATATCATATTGTAAACAACATAAAAATAAAGTTAATATATTAGTTAAACAATTGATTTTTTTCTTTTCTAGGCATTATCATTTTTATAATAGTTCAATTAACGTTTCAAGTAATTTTTCTATATTTCTTATATAGAAATATATTTTTATACACGAAACGTACAATACTTCAAATACAGGAATGTCAAAAGCAATAGATATATATCGATGAAATATTAAAAGATTGTAAAGTATTCATCAAAATAATGTAATGTGTCAACAAGTACATGATAGGTTTAATATATAGTAGGCATATTACTTATCTATTCAAAAACTAATATGTATATATAATAAAAAGTTTTATTAAAATATACCTTGTAAAATCAAGCATACCGAAGATTAAAGTATGCCATTAAGGCACAAGAAATAATTCCTTGTCAGTCATTTCTATTTCTGTAATTAAGGTGTTATTAATATAATTAATAATAAACGTATAAATATTATTTAAGATAATCATTCTTTACATATATCATAAACAATTCATCTAACACCTGTAAATCTAAAATTCATAAATAATATTATTACAAGGAAATAAAAGATTCAATAATTGAAATAAAATACAAATTGTATCGAGTCAAAAATATTGTATCTCAAAAGAAAAAATTGTAAATTTCTTTAAGTCTTATTATTATTTTTATCCATCTTATCGTATATTTAATGAATTCGTTTTATTTTGCCAAAATGACAGAGATTAATGAACTATATTTTAAGTATAAAAATCTTGAGAAGAAATAGTTTGTATTCTTATAAATCTTGCCTATGGAAACGTTACGTTTCGAACATAAAAGT